CAACCAAAGGTGTTAACTTCAGTAAGCTAACATCATGTATTACGCTATTATCGGTTTTGAAAGCATTTATTGAGTCGAGTTTTTCAATGCTCACAGGCCCTCGCAATCTTTTGAAAGCAGTTTTCTTACTTGCATCATGGAGCTCCTTATTTAGTTCCATGCTTGCACGAAACAGTGCATCGTCATATTAGATATCAATGACACTTGGTACATAAGTGATTAATTTAGAAATCAAATCCATGCATTTTAATTACCCAATTTGCAGGATTTAGTCAATTTTCAAATGCCTCAATCTTTTAAATTAAACTTGGTGCATAGGTGTTCTGGGATAAATAACAGACTACAAACCGCAGATAACAGTCCAATTTATTCTAATAAGAGTTTTCTAATAATAATATAAATGTTAATACTGTGGATCAGATCGATTTCACATGGTGCATCTCAAAGGTCAGAATATATTACATGCCAGGCTTCTTATTTAAACATACATCTTATATTCTTAATATTAATTTACAAATATTTCTGCTTCATATGCCTACAATATTATACATGTACATATCTTTTTTGCTGGGCCCAAGATGTACTCATTTTTTATGTATCCTATTACGCATACCAGTACAAGTAGTGGAATTACTATTTTAAAATACTACTATCCTATTATCATCATTGCTGCTGTGAGACACAAGTTATAGTCTTGTTGAATTACATCAATAATTGTACAATATTCTGTACCAGGTACAGCGATTAATGTGTTCACTTCATAGTTGATGAAAGATACTGTGGCGCTTGAAATTTTTTCTATATTATGATCAGTTTCGATATATGTGGCAATAAACAAGTGTTGAATATAATAATGGTGTCTGCATTTCCATTGCGGTTTGTATGTACCTATGCAAACACAGAAATAACTTGACAAATATAGATACCAAATTATAAATTAGTGTTTTAAAGATTCAATTTTCTACCTCCACTAACTGTCAGCCCTTCTGTTTCAGTTCACATGCACACTGGATAGAAAATTAATAAAACAAAACATTTGCCTTGCATGTAGTAGATAATCATAGTATCGGTACTTGGTAATTATTCAATATTCTTGCAACCAGATGGTTTGGGCAAAGTACCTTCATCTGTACTGTATAGTATCTATTTAGATACACCTCATAATGGGCCTAAAATTAATATATCAATTGAATACTTACCGAACATTGTGATTATGTCTTAATTTTGTAGCTATTATGTTTTTTCAATATGTACAATTGTTGGATAATGTTTGAAATTTGTTTAAAAAAACAATACATTTAAGCTTTAATAGACCCACCAAAGATTACCTTGTTTGTTGACACCTTTTTTTAAAGCGGGGGAGTCGTCACCTGCGCATCATGCGTCAGATGACCATAGCGTGACAGTTTTCACAAACAAGCGTCTTCCCATGAGCCTTTGCGATTTTTGGCAAATGATAAGTTGTTATAATACACAGGGGACATTTCTGAATTTATTTTAATTAGTATTACTTGGATGGTAATTACCAACTAACCAAGACATATTAAAATTAAATCTATTGTGGTTTTATGATAGTTCTTGGATTATTCCATTTATGATATGGGTAAAAATAGGATGTATTAGAGGGACTGCGAATGGGTTTTTTGTACTGTTGAAATTCTGTTAGTAAAAGCATGTATATGATTGAGTGATTATAATGAAGGAATTTTTTTTTTTTTACCATAAATCGTTAAGGTCGTTCAATCCATTACATAAGAGCAAAAAAATTTTGTTTTGTTTCAAAAGTGAAAAATGAGCCTTTTTGGAATTATATTAAAAAAATTATACACTCCTAAAAAAACTATAAAACATAGTCCCATATAAATCATACAATAAATGTCATTTTCCCAAGTAAAAAGTAATCTTCCTTATTAGAACAGACATAGTCAGTAGTCTATTGTAGCAGATGCAGCTTTGTCAGAACCTTCAAAATCACAAAATATTAATGTGAATCTCATCATGTCAAAAGTATTAAAGATTGACATACACATGTTATGATATAATTCCTGATTTGCTGATAATGGAATTTGTATAATTTTCATTTATATAGGTGCAACGTTTTCCAAAGCCAAAGCTCAGTATCCCTGGCCAGCTTTAACCAGAAGAGGTCTCATTAGAGTCATTTTTTATCCATTCTTCTATAGATGGTGAGTACTACAGCATACTTAGCATAGTTCTGAGTTCTTTATGTTGTATAGCTATATTTGTACTGCACTTTGTGCTTGAGATTTTCAATAAACTTAATTGTTCATTTTTTTTCCAAGATATGATTCAAAATGTCTGACTGATTTTGTTTTTAAAGCCATGTTGCTAACATGACTGGATATCATACATCATGTAACACATTTGCATATGCATCTGTTTCAGAATCCGATTCAAGATGGCTTATGAATGTTATGGGCAGAATAAAAGAAGGAATCACACAAATATAATAGTTCCACTTTGTATTATGTCTGTCACATGAGTGTAAATAATTATTTGGCATTAATGTTTACAGTCAATTAACCTGAATATTTTGTTTCAGTTTGATGATTTGTTGAGACTACTCCTAACCCTATCTCTCTATCTATACATTAGGTGGTATCAGCAGCTATCCCTATGGTTATTTGTATCATTGTTATGTCTCTACTGTCTTCAGATAATTTCAATTATTGTATATTTCAAAGATGATACAACAGATACAGATTTAGAGGTAAGTTTATTTCGTTGTCTGTATAGATTCATTTTTATTGACTGTACATCCTCCAAGATCGGTCATACCTTCTGTGAACACCAGCTGTGCAGATCCACCAACTTTACACCCTCCCTCTAAAGAACATTTATATCTTCTGTGAACACCAGCGTACAGATCCATCAACTTTACACCCCCCCAAAGAACATTTATACTTTCAGTGAACACCAGCTGTTAAGATCCATCAACTTTACCCCCCCCCCCCAAAGAACATTTATACCTTCAGTGAACACCAGCTGTTAAGATCCATCAACTTTACACCCCCCCCC